TATATTCCGATGTTCCCCAAAATGAGATCCTGAGCTACTAGCATCCATTAGAGATCTGTTTATGGTATTTATGACTTATTACCTAAATACTATGATTTTTTAATCGCTTGCAAACATAATATATACTCTTATTAAAGAAACGCACTCCATAATTAACTATAGACATAGCGCATTGTGAATTAATTGGACGCTACATTTTCATAGCGTCCGATTAATTTCGAAGCGTTTACATTCAATCGGCCACATTTCATATTAATTAATTAATTCCATCATTAATTATCATCAAACAACGAGCCCCAAAAAGTTCATGCCATAAATCAAGGGAAGCGATATTGAAATAAAACAAAGTATATCATACGGCACAGCAGCATTAAACACCGTACCAACTTGGCCCAATAACTTTGGCACGGTTTTAATTAAATTTAACGAACAGGTACATCGTCGCGAATGAGTTGGGGCCGCCTGTTCGAGAATTTCATTTGATACTACGAGTATGTGCATGGGCGATGTGTTCCACTTTGTTAGAAATTCCCCTACATAAATATATGGCTGTTGACGTATTTATCTCTAACAAAAGGAAAACAAAAACCTCTTTTCCCGAACGTCTACGCTACAACGTAGTTTGTTACCCACTAACACTTTGCGGCGTTATAGAATTTCTTTTGTCTAACGACCCTAGGGAAAAATCTTGTTTGTACAGAGCGATATAAAAGGAGAACTTGTATACAAACATGAAAAACGTACCAAAATATAACAATGATTTCGGCTCCTCTTTTTTAAACGTAATAAAATAGACATGTATTTATTTATTTATTAGAGATAGTATACACATTGAAATTTTTATTACATATGGTATCATATGCACACCAATGACTAGTATGTAACATGTTTACAATTATGCCACGTACCAATAACATTACAAATACGAATATATAAAAGTAAAAATATACGAAATAATAAAAGAAAAAGAAATAAACAAAATCAATGATATTATTATGGATAATGTAAGGTAGCGACTTCTTTTTCACTACATAGCATAAAATAGTCGTCCATATGTATGCTTAGATCTATAAAACCAGGCTACGAATCTTGATGCGGTTTTTTACTAGATACAGAGATTCAAGAGGAAGGTTTATATGTATAATACATTAAACCCGTGCCTGGGCGGGTCGCTAGTAAGACATAATTTATCAATGTATATCGGATCGCAGCTTAAAAGTTACAAAACACACTTGTACCTCGCAGATTTATAACTGTACTTGTCGAAATAAATGTAAGCTAATTAATTTGCACCTAACATAGTTAAAATCTATTTTTATTTGTTATAATTTTGCCCACAATGAATCTCTTTTTCAATTTGATTGACCAAATTATTTTGTATTGTTTCACAGAACGTCTCGTTCTAATGTTATTAATCCAAGATAACGATCAAAGAAAACCTTGGTCTTTAAGAATTCTTATACCTACGCATGCAGTTAAGTGTTTGCACAGACTAAATTGTGCTCACTTCAAATCAGACACAACGATAAGAGGGTATCGACCGAACTATCAAGTTCTAGAGATACGAACATAAAAGAATCTACGCCAAACAACACGTAATATTATCTGTTTGCATAATTTGTACATGATATGCCCTATTATACGCACATTTTGTGTTCGATGTGAGCCTGTCTCTTAATATTTTACCTCAAAGTTGTTTATTTGTCGGTACGCCATGAATTCCATTATTCTATATCAAATTTTATGATTCAAATGCCATTTTTAAGCTTATGTCTGCAGCTATTGACTAAAAATAGAAGAGAAGAACATTAAAAGAAGAACATATCCCGCTGCCGGGTAAAACGCGCGACGTCTCAGACGCGAACCCACTGACGGACTTCACATATCTTCGAAACATACTTTTTTTGTTATTGTTTCGAAAACATGCAGGTTTCATCGCTTAAAATGAATTATTCCATTGGTACCATACCGGAATTTGAACTCAGGCTGCCCGAGTATAATGAATTAAAAGCCAGCGTCCGAAAACTGAATTATCATGGCTCTTATAAATAGAATTTTATTGATTTCACAAAAACAGTTTCGTTATTATAATTTTTTTCTAAACAAAGAAAGATGGTGAAATAGACAGAAAAAATATTAATAAAAAACCTTTCATTGATAAATTAATTTAAATTACCAGAGTAACACTAAAAGTTTAAGAACTAGCCAATTAGAAACATTGCCAATGAAAAGTTCTTTTCAATTTTAATTGTAGAACACTTTGGTAACATTTTTGGCCGTTTATTGCATTCACTTGTCCTTTGTTTTAGTGAATTGGGGTAAATTTCAAAAGTCTTGTTACCTCAAACTGAATAATTTATTACGATGTACCCCGAGCCACTGTTTAAAATTGGTTTAATGAGTTTAAGCGTAGGCGTGGTAATCTCAGTGATGCTCTGCGTGACGGACTTCTTTCAAAAGCGACATAACGAAGATAACATCAGTGCTCTGCGACGTTTGATAGGAAGATAAGAGAGTAACCTAAGCAGTTTCGGGCAAGCATTGGTAGGAGACAAGTATAATAAATATTACATAACCATTTAGGCGTTAGAAGGCTTTGTACCAGATTTATTCCCCATACTTCGACCGAAGACCAGAAACGCCTTCGCATGGATTGGAGGCACGAAATGTTAGAAAAGTTTAACTGATGTCGTCACAGGTGATGAAAGCTATATTGCAACGAACCCGAAACCAAATCATCTCAGTGAATGTTTCTTTTTGAGGATCGGCCAACTAAAGTAAAGATAGGAAGAAGATGATGAGAAGTCAAGGAACAAAGATGATTACTCGTTCTCTAATCGGATAGGCCATTCCGGGACAGTGGAGCTGGAAGACTTCAGACTTAACATTCACTGGAGACTGGTATGTTAACTGTTGCTTACTTATTTTCTGAAAATGTTTGATAGCAGCATTTTCGAAGCAGGATCCTCCTTCACCACGACAACGCTTCAGCGCACCCTGCGAAACAAACAAAAGAATATTTGACTACGGTAGATGTGACTTTCATTTAATCCCAAGAATTAAAGATCAACTTCGAGGTATTCGCTTTATCAGCCCTGAAGATGCGGTGAGTGTGTTCCATTGAATGCGAAAACGAACAAGAAGTAGAGAGAGGAATGACGAATATTTGGAAAAGCAATAAAATTAGTGGCAACCATCAACATTGATCAGTTTTATATTTTTTTTAAGAAGTTTCACTGCGACCCATTATTGAAACATTATATTTATCATTCAGTCACTAACTATACACATACTGTGCGAAAACTTCGTCGAATAGTTAATATAAACTCTTATATAGAATATGTATCTTATATATATATTATGTATATTTGATGAATTCGAAGCTAAAGACTTCAAACTTTACTACTGAATTCAAGTTAAATATCAAACTAATTAATTTGGGACTTAGATGGAATTAATATTCACAAATATTTGTTAAAAACCTTTAGTCAATATTTATAAACAGTTGCTGCTAATACGCTCATTAAAATTAAATTCTGGACGAGATTATCGCTCATCCATCAATAGCAGCTTAATGTACACAATTATACAAAAATCGTTTTATTTTCTTACTTACCCTATCTTGTTGCAGAAGTATTATATCAAGCATTGATGAGACTACTTTATGTCTATAATTTGTTTACCAAAATCAAATTTTAAAATTCTCATATAGATACGCTACCGGGGTTTGGCTATCAATTGGATCAGTGTGTGTTCAAGTAATTTAATATTTTTATCCCTTATACTATCAAAAATATGCCACAGTTTCCAAACCAAAAAATATCGAAGTATAAATATTGTAGTCAAGAAATTGTATACGTAAACCTGGAAAGACAAAAATATACCTACATCGACTCAGCATCCGCAGTACTGTAACAGTCAATATATACTCCGAACCACCCATGCTCTTGTATACTATTGCCTGAGTTAGTCGTTTTAACACAACATCTCTAACAAAAAAAAAGAAATAAATACTCAAAGTAGATATTATAATTTTAGTATTGTCTGACCTGTATATTTAAAAAAGGTCATTAGTTATCAGGCTATTTTTAAATGCTACGTTCGTTGACGAACAACATTTTTCTTGTGGGCAGATAACAGCGGTCGTTAATAATGAACTTTTCAAGCGTCCATTAATAACCTAGCCTGCGTTCGCAAGTCAAGGCAGCTTAGCTGCATATCGTTTAAAACAATATAAGAAGACGTACGACGAGACTCGAATTTCCGTTAATAAATTAACTAAATACAATTAGCTAATATTAAGAAGTCTATTACAATAATTATGTCCAGTACAACCCTTTACCAATCAAAAATAAAAATTTCAATAGAACTTTTTATTTGAGATTTCTCTTCGGTAATTAAGAGAAAAACATTTTTACGTAAAATTTATAGCAACGTAACTGCTATCAGCAGTCTATGAGGCGTCGTCTCTGTGCCTACACTAATCTAATAAACCATCATTGTTTGACAATTTTCATCATCAAACTGGAATTAATTCAAGATATTGCCCCCTTATGCCATTGACAAACTATTGTTGGGTGCAAACTTTCTTATCAAAATGCCTTTACATCGGTGACTTTGCCTGTCTAATGAAATGCAAATTATAGTCTGTCATCTGAATATTAATCTGTGAATAAACACCTTGCTAATTTGTATTCTGAAGTTTATTCAACTTCTGTTTTTGTGTACATACGTCTATATTACTTTGTTTTTTGTTTCAGATGGGACGATCTATGCTTCCAATACTAATGCTTACATCGGTGGCGCTCTCGTCGAGTGATGTTCTTCCAATTTTACCCAATAATGCTAATGTAGAATCATTTAACATAGACGACCAAAGTAATGACAATATATTTTTAAACAGTCACCAAACTAACGCACCCAATCATATTTTTTATAAAAACAGAGCAGCCCAATATAGTTACGTATCAATACCAAAATTAAAGGAAATAACAGAGTCGATGAACACTGACTACGACAATAGTGGAGATGAAAAAGATTTCAGCGATAAGAATAACAAGGTAGAAAATTACGATGATGATGGATATCGAAAAGAACAATGGCACAACTATCCCAGGCAGTTGGATCATCTTCACAGGCAAGACACGCGCGATGAATCAAACGAGGCAGCAATAGCTGAGCGCAGTGAAATAGAACCAATTGACAGACAGTTTGATGATTTTACCAGAAACGAATTCAGATTAAGAAGTGCATATGATGATCACAATGTATATGAAAACGTTGTAGCCGCCACTGACCCCTTTTTAGTTCTTAGAGTACAGTTAACATATTTACGAGATGATGTGAACAGAAACGACTTCAATCAATATCCTAATTCATTTTCATCAAAATCCGAAAATGATCCTAGAAGAAACATGGAAGACAATAATTTGTTTTTGGAAGATATCGAATCTACGGCCCATTTAGTAAAGGTAAAGAGAGAGGACCCTACCAAAATCGGAGATAATGAAATTACTCATGAAGGATCATTTATCTCCGAAATAGGTGAGAGAGAGGTGTATGAGTCATAATGTCTTTTCAACTTTTTGTTTGATAAAATACGCTACTACATGTTGGCTAAACAATAATTATTCAGTTTGGTGGTATCAAATTAGGTGGTATTAGAATAGGCAGTAAAAGTCCTTAATTTATGATTTCTTGCTACTACTTTAGTTGACACCAAATATTTATTATGTTCAAAAGAAAGGATGGCACGAAGCAAATGTTCTTAGTTCGATTTTATTTACGCTAAGCACCCGTATTATTTCGCAAAACTGTTAAAATCAAAGCAATTCACATATGTGTATATTTATAATGGTGAGTACCGTAACCGGATCCCACTGTTTTGAACGTTGGCAACGCATATGCATGTCATATCATCAGGTGAACCGTCTGCCAAATTGCCAACTTTGGACCTAAAAAAACTTCACACCGTTTCAACTAACATATACATATCCTTGATTTTTGGCAACTTTTGAAAAATTTAAGTTGTGTATTATATTTTTTTTTTTTGCAGAAAATTCGTCGGGCAGTAAGAAAGCAGTGAAAAAACGACTCTTTTCACTTTGGAGCCGCCTACAAAGTCTATCACACAGAGGCCATGAGCTTCACCATCGACGACATATGCACGCATTCTACAGCTCACCTGATAATATCAAAGGAAATGGAATCGTAACAGCTCAAACCAGGGCCACTTTCGTCCGACCACCGGGCTCTCCTTTACGATGGGGTTAAAAAATACACAATAAAATGAACAATAATTATTATGTAGCAACACTAGCTTTTCCTATATTATATACACTAGGCTACAACGTACTCTTATATATCGTCTAATATAAAATTATATAACTGAATAATAGATTAGTAAGCTTTGAAATGATTTGGGTAATTTTCATAGTAATGGGCGAGACAAAGTAAAGAACTTTCTGTTACAGCTAAGCTATATTAAGTTAATCATTTATCCACCAATTTTGTACATCAGTTCTTGTTATACAAATCTCGTTCTTATAATGTCTTTATCTATGGTAAAAACAGTTTTTACTTATAAAAACAAATTAAAAACATAAAACATTCCAAATGCATTGTTAATGTTGCTATGAATATTATTTTTATTGTATCTCCTGCCCGTTTTCTTTTATATAGGTATTGTGTAGTATATGCAAAGTTATTTATTATGTTAGATATTACATTTGAAGAAAACTATAATCATGTTCAAGAATAAATCTTCAATTTATTCTAGTTATATACAGCGTGACGTTACCACCGCGACAATAAATGAACACACATATAGGGGATAACTTTTTAAAGTTGTATTAAACATTTAAATTCTTTAAACATCAATATTTACAGAGTTATTAAATTTTCAAAAATAAAGAATTTTAGAACACCCTTACCTATAAAAGCGTAACGTAAAGTTCATTTGTAAAGGTCACAAAGCATATGAATGGATTGAATGAATTTAAAAGAGACAAAACATACTGTTAGAAGGAGATGCTTGTAATGCTACGCTGTGGCGCGAGTTGTATACGATGTTACAAATTTTGTTTCTTTTTTACTTAATTAGTTTGTTTGAAAAAAAATTTTTTTGTTTATGGATTTGTTTAACGTTAATATTTTTTTTTGATTATTGGCAAGTAGCGTCAGACGTGTGTTCATTTATTGTCGCGATGGTAACGACACGCTGTACGGTGGTGTTTTTTTTACTTTTATGAGAAAACTTCTTAACTGATATATTATGTCACTTCTGATTTTACTTTACACTTGAATTTAAACACCATTCATCATTTCTTTTTAATCTCAATAATTATTGAAACATTTTAATTAACTTAACTACGTCATCTTCAAAGTCATATTTAAAAAAAACTGACTTTATAATCTATATTGTAATCGTAAAATATGCTATTTATTGAAAGCTTATATGTATCAGCTAAATTATAAAATTCAAATCTAGTGAAAACGATGTAACTGTGTTTTTCTTATATAATGTTTTAATTTATTACTAATTTACCTTACTTCACGCGTAACTTTTAGTTAGATCGTTTTTTATTTTTAGTAGTAATATTCAATCGTGGCTATAAATTTCTAGTTTGAAAAAATAATGCTTTTTAATGAATAAATGTGTTACCAAAATTGTTTACAATAATAGAAACGTTATGTGATTAGGAATTATGGCGTAGCTTTGTTTAGAATATTGTGTCGTAATATATTATGTAAATAAACAAAATGTATATCAGCATTAATCTGTATTTTTAATCCTTTTTGTTAGGTTGTACAAAGTTGCTTAACTAAGATTACATAAAATCAGTCAGTTAAGTATTGAAAATAGCGCCATCTTCTGTTTAAATGTGAAAATTCTTTACACTAACAGTAGATATTATCATTAGTATCACAATGACATGTCTCATGTTATATCAGTGCCTAAACTACTCATTCATTAACTATACCTATCTTTGAATTTGCAAGCTGAAAACCTTTTATTTTGTCTACTTACTCAATGGGGGTAAGTTTCTTTATATATTGTAATTAGTTCCATAATTTAATTGCGGTCATCCAATTTAAAGTACTCTAAAGTTAAAGGTTATGATTACATGTTTGTTGTCATTAATAAGCATTTGTTTGTCAATACATTAACATTAACTACTTATTTTATTAAGATAATATCAAGAGCTATACAGTTGTTAAGTAATTATTGTGGTATTCCTAACCTCACTTTTATATTTTTAAATTAACAAGAGCAAATATGAAAATTAGAGTTTTTAAACATAATAACTGCCCTTAAATTATTTTCCGTTTCTTAACTGGTCGCTGTGAAGATTTAAACTAAATAAACGTAAGACACAATACAACATTGATTAACGTGAGTAATGTGGAAACGTTTTGGAGAATTTGAAACCACAAATGTGCAAACCACTAACTTTGTTCAAGTGCGCTGTCGTGTTTCGCTAAGCTTGTTCTTACCGCTGTTCCCACATCAGCCTCCTTTCAACAACTGCGTCACACTAACGTAACAAAATTTCAGCTTTCTACGCTTAGTACCTACTTAGTTCACTATGATAGTCCTTGCTTTTGCAAACTTAAATATTATTAGGCAATTATTATTCACCATTCTTACATACGTATGGATTTTTGGAATTTTTCCTTTCTTTTTATCATTTCTTAATATTCATAATTAGGTATTTGTTACGATTCGTAATTGCTTGATTTCTAATTTGCCATAAGATTATTCCAACGTTAGATTCTGTTAGGCAGAATAAGGTGTTGAATCCCGCTCTATGCCAAAAACGGAATGAGATATATGTACTAAGCATAAAGCTCTTTAATAGCTTAATTATTTTTTGTGCTTAATTTTGATGAGCGATTGTGAAGGCAAATGTAAACCCTTGTTAACGAGACATGTGAACATTGACTTATATTTAATGGTATAATCCAAGGGTTCTATCATTAATTTCTTTAAAATTCATCGGACTCGTTTCCCGCGAGAATGCAGGGGTCAGCCCTAGAGGGTTAAATATGATTGTTTACGCTACATTCTGCCAATGACGCTAACCTATTATAGTTGGGGAATCGGGCAACGCTGTACGCTTTCTGGCTGTCTTCGTGCTCTTGGCGGGTCCGCGCCGGCTTGCAATTTAAGGGTATACCATTTGACGAGGAGAACGTGGACATAGTTCGCGAGAAGCGCCATCTCACGGAGCAGTTCCGCACTATCAATCCAGCACAGAAAGTTCCCGCCCTTGTCATAGGTATCGTCAACTTTTTTTTATTTATTTGAATAGTGGTAAATTTCCTCCTAATGTTATTTTGTTACATTTTGGCGTGACAAGATAACTGGGGCCTTTGGCTCGTTTAGACTCTGTTTCGTGAAACAATGATATTCCTCTCAAACTGAATAAGCTTCTCATCTAAAGATCTTAATCGCATTAAAAACCACAGACTTCACGCACGTTCAATTTGAATTCAATTCAATCCATGAATAATAATTTCTAGCTAAATAACGTGCTTCAAAAGCTATTTTTTTTATATAAAGCTATTTATTTCATACGGTTGACCTTAACTGGAAAAATAAGATTTAGAATTTTTGTATATACGAAAAGTTGTAAAAAAGTTTGGAAAGCACTGGCTTAGACCCTACTAACTAACCCGCTACTAACGATATAAGATCGATTAATTATAGCAGCAATTTTTATACCAACCATTTTAAACGCTGACGTACCTCATATCTAATTCTGTTTATTATTCCTGCGGAGAAAATACGTAGATGAATAATTCCATCCCCGCCGAGCGGGTTTCTACATAGACACAGTGGAGAGTTGGTAGGGGTTTGGAACGACAATGAAGCAAAAAGTCGCTTTTTTACGACCAAATATAATAAAAAAAATTCTATGGAGAAATATTGTTATACTAGGTTTCCCAAGTAGTTGTAAGAAGTAGTATATAAAATATTAATATTCCATAAAAAAAATACTGTTTCTTTTTACATTGAGAAAAATCTTGTTTTTATTATTTACACTTAACTAACAAGCATTAAATGTTACATTCTACTACTAATTATATAAATAATAAATAAACAAGGAACGTTATATATATTATGAATAGTAGACAGATGTTATACAAGCGACATCGCTGTATACAGCGGGTCGTTACCATCGCGACAATAAATGAACACACATATAGGGGATAACTTTTTAAAGTTGTATTAAACATTTAAATTCTTTAAACATCAATATTTACAGAGTTATTAAATTTTCCAAAATAAAGAATTTTAGAACACCCTTACCTATAAAAGCGTAACGTAAAGTTCATTTGTAAAGGTCACAAAGCATATGAATGGATTGAATGAATTTAAAAGAGACAAAACATACTGTTAGAAGGAGAGGCTTGTAATGCGACGCTGTGGCGCGATTTGTATAGGATGTTACAAATTTTGTTTCTTTTTTACTTAATTATTTGTTTGAAAAATATTTTTTTTAATTATGGATTTTGTTTAATGTTAATATTTTTTATGATTATTGGCAAGTAGCATTAGACGTGTGTTCATTTATTGTCGCGATGGTAACGACACGCTGTATATGCTTCATTGTTTTCAGGTCCCAGGTATACAAATCAACTTTCTCTCTTCAAATACTTTAGCAAAACTTCTTACGAAAAACGTGAATTTGTGAAAGAAACGTAAGTACGCGAATGAAAAGTGTAATTTTTCCATCGCTTTGACAATTTGCCGCGTTACTTACCATATATTGGCTATTAAACAGCCCAAATTCACACTTTAACACACGAAGTGTACCTTCGAAGCATTCCCTAATTTTCAGTTTATCGCTTATTGCTTAGTGACATTTTTAAAATGTATTCGCTTTACGGTTTACACGGTTAAACGTTGAGTGGCTCATCGACATCTCTATTTTTTATCCAGTAAATTATGTTAATCGAGAAAACACAAAAAATTCACAGATAACTTAAATAGAAGAATGCATTTCGTACAATGAGTGAGATAACTGGATGCATAAGCTATAAAATTTTGGAAAAACTACACCTTGAGCGTCGCACGTATTCATGGGCTTCGGTGATCAAACTCTTAAAAAAAAATTAAAAACGTCTGAGCCGTCTAGTCGTTTAGTTGTAAGCACTTGCTGGATTTCTTGCTGCGGATATGTTCAATATTAATCATAAGAAAACAATCAAAATTGAAAAACACATTGTTTGCATAGACAATAATAATACTAATAAATCTAACCGTTACTAATAAGTCTGTATAAATATTCTTACGTCCCATCAATAGGCCTTTAACATTAGTTCGTAAATTGCGTTCGCAACCAGCATCGAGAGTGACGCCTCCCAATTCTTACGCATAACGTGATATAACACGAATGAAAGGGCACTCAAGGAAATCCAATCTTTTTTCGACGCCACCCCTCTATGAGGAGACTCGAATTGGAAAACCAATCCGATTTAAATTGATTGGAAATTCACAACAAGGTGTGAACTTTGATTTCGCTCTTTGAATAACAACGTCCATCGACATTATTGAGTGGCATATCGTTTGCTCAGTCGTTACCAAATCTTTTGATATAAACGTTCTTATCTACGCATAAAGGTAAACTTATTTGCACAGATTGGTAAGATTGTGTACCTATTTTATATACAAAAGTATACAATGTAGCGAATATAAAACAATTTTCTTACTTAAGTTATATAAATAAATATTGTTACCTTAAGATCTAAGATACATATAACATATCTAAAATTAATGAGTTCAGCGAAGCAGATATAAAAAGTGCACAAAACTAATCTGAATAATCAGATTAAAGTAAATAAATCGCTTGTAAATGTCTTTTGATTTACCTTAACCACAATCTTCGATAATTCGTAATCCATATTTATTGAAAAACGCTCAAACGTACAGAAGAAGGAACGAACTTTCGCATTTAGGTACATGGTGTAAAAATATCTGTCCAAATCATATTAAGGTGCTAAATTCAACACAAACAATATTGTACAAATTTAACAATATTCTAAAAGTGAGGGCAAACCCATTTTGTTGATACCTTTTAGTATTTTTGGTAGCTTATCGGATAATTATGTGCTGATAATTATTGTTCAATTAAGGAAAGAAGGCTGTCGCATTACGTATTGTTGATGGGCGTACGTACGCCCATCTTCAGCGCTGCTTATGCCACCGTCATCGGGCGACAATACCGCATTGTCGCGCACAATAGCTCGCCTGCTAACGAGGCTCGCCAATAACTAAGTCATTAATATCAGTATGCTGTGTAAAAAATAACCCACCGATATGAATTAAAATTGTCGCACCGCAGTCTTTCACTTTTGTAATTAATAATAGACTAACGCCCGGTTTCTGAAACACTGATCATCGTAGATGTCAGAACGATCAATCCAAAGAGTTTACCCATCCTTTTGGCAACTAAAATGAAATTTGAAAACCATTTGACAGCTTATTAGTTAACATCTACGATGATCAGTGTTTCAGAAACCGGGCGTTAGTGTTATTTGACATGAAACGGGATTGAAACGAGTTTTTACGTGTGAAAATAACAATCCGACTGCGTCTGAAGTTTTTGACGACAATACGCAATGATATAAGAAAATATGCCATTTACATTTTTTTAATATAAAATTTTTAATATAACGACGCAGTTTATATAATCTATTCTATTGAATTTATCCATCAAAATCGATTCGGCCTTCTAGTAGTTACGAGGAAATATAGGGACGGACATAATTATGTAGATACAGATCAAAGAAGAATAAATATAGAATTTATCTCAGATGCACTACCCATCAACTAAATTCCGTATGACAAGGTGCTGTGAAAATAACAGAAGAAATCAAGTCTGGCTGTGTCGATGTCTGATAGCGGCCTAACCTTCCCAATCGCAACAACAGCGGAGCCTAGCCTATTTGCAAAAGATGATAGATGGGGACTCCACTGGAGCTTTGAATCTACTGTCATTTCGAAGAATACAGCGGACTCATTAGGATTAAGGGATACTTTATTTAATATTAAACTAAAACTTTGCCTCCATACACTAGGAAGAGTAAAAAAAGAGAGAAACTGAACTATTCTCCTCATCATTATTTGATACATTTCGGTTAAACTTAAAAAATGAGGGATGTCCTCGGCAAACAATACAACATCACTGGCATAAAACGGGAGGAGATCATTTATATATACTAAAACTATATACAAATAATAGGGCCAAGATAGATCCTTTATTGATTCATTAATTGGCACACCCATTTTCATAGGTGACCCTGCGTAATTAACATCATTTATAGGTCCTTTTTCAATTTTACTACAAAGGTAAAAGGCAATGAGATTGTGGGCGATTCCGCTAATGCCGTAATAGTCTAGCTTTCCGAAGGAGGGTTTTGTAGTCTACGTAACTGTTGTCGATCTGACATTAGTGAATCCATATTACTCATCATGAAAAATTTTATTTATATTAAAATGTACTGATAGTTGATTTAAAATTTTTTTAGAAAAACATTTCTTAGGGATGGCAATATAGTTGCCTGGATCATTTTATCTATATTTAATATTTTATATGTTATATAAATATGATATTATCTTATTGAATTTCATTAGATCTGGGAAATTGAAATGAGAAGTAATTTGGAAGTAAATCCAGTGTAAAATACCTTTTCGTATCTCTGCCTAACCCTCTGTTACAAAAACGGACGCGATAGTTTACCGGTATGTACTCTTATATTGTATAATTCAATGTATTATACATTTTTTCACGTTCTGCACGAATGCTTTTTCTAATAATATCCAACAACACTCCGAAAACGAGGTTAAAAACGTGGGTGCATCGATCTAAGCAATCAAGTATCATTCGAATCGTTAACGCGAGTCGGACTCTTAAGTGGACCAGTCAATAACTCCATTCAACGAAGCCGTCGCCACTTAATAAAACGCATGGAAAATACTGAATTGGTAACTATTTGGGTCACCAATTGTTTTTATGGAACGCAATGGTACTTACTATTCTAGTATAATACCAGTGCCCGTAGAGATCCCGGCCTCACTAAACTCTGAAATAATTGCCTCCAATTTTAATTTAAAACGTCTGATAAAATCACTGACACTCTGATATCTTCCTTAAAGAAATGGTATGAGAGGATATGTATAAAGCATGGCTTGGAACAATTTATTACAAAACTTAAATATTACAAATATATCGTACTTCACGTGTGTTTATGCGCTTAAATGGTTCACTAAATA